CTCTCATCTCTTATATTGAGCCTATCATGTGAGTTTTTTTAACATTTAATATTTTATATTTATAACTTCCATCTGGTTATTTTAAAAAGTAACTTCTATTACTTTGCTGAGATGTTCTAATTTTTCCTTTGTTTCAAGATAATTTGTGATTGCTTATTGGAGAATTTTTCTTACAGGTACTTTAAAGTCTTTGTCTGATAATTCCAATACCTGATTTATCTAACTGTTGCTGTTTGTTCATTACTTTTTTTCACTCTTGTTGTGCCTTTCTTAATTTTTATGATAGGTGATGTTTTATTGTTTCCTGGGCATTTTGCCAATTATTCTAGGAGACTTAGACTCAAAGTCTTATTGATATCTTTTATTTTAGCAGGCAGTCATCTATTTAAATTTGATATATAGGTCCTGGTCTACATTTTTGCTGGCATTTATAAAGAAAGTTTAATTTTCAGGCCTATTGTGGTGAGATTTTTTATTTGTGTGGTATATATCATGTAACTCGGGCTCCTGTTACTCTCTGAAGTTGCTGCTTGGGTCTCTTCAGTGATAGAGGTGGAAGTAAGGAAATCTCTTAGTTGTAGGGAAAAAAGACTTCCCAGAGTGAACAACTGATTATATTAAAATACTTCATGCTCTTGTAACCTACCCACCTGTCTATGTAGGAGTCTCAGTCCCACAGGACAAAGAGACTTCTTGGGCTGCATAGTTATTGTGGCAAGATCCCTCTTACTGGTGCCACTTGAAGCTTAGTATTTCTGGTTGTGGGTCTGGAGTCTCAGGGCCATAGGAAATAGTTTTTCAAGCTGCCCAGGTTTTGTGACAAAATGTTTTATGCCTGAAGTTTGCTGAGTTTTAAAATAGGGATGATAATTTAACCTTAAAAAGTTTTACAGAAAATAAATATATAACTCCATGAGGGCAGAGAGTTTTGTCTGCTTGGTTTAATCATTTAGTCACAATTTCCAGAATTGTATCCTAATACTTACTAGTTGTTTAATAAGTGTTTTCTGAATTAATCGATACAATGAATAGTAGGGCACCAATCAATAAGTCAATTTATTGGTTCATTCTCAATAAATGATAACTAGCTTCCATCATTCCCTTCTCTAACAAGTGCTTCCGTGAAGGCAGACTTGAGTCTTCTGATATCAGTGCTTTAGACATTATTATGACTGGCTTTCCCTAAAAACATTACTTAATTTTCATTTGTTCATTTGTTCATTGAGAACTTACTATATGATAACCACAACACCAGGTTATATATATATTATTTTAGATTGATTTGTTTCATTTAGTTTAAAAGTTTTCCATATTGCTTTAATTTTAATTTAATCTTGTTTTAAATTTAATATAAATTATTTACATAATCCCAAATTCAAATCTATAAAATAAAGTGCATATTTACAAAGCTCTCATTTATATTCTTATCCCACTCAACATTTTTCTTTCTTTCCTTTTCAGGCAATTCCCCTCCTCTCTGTTCTTTTTTCTTATTTGGTACCAGGGATTGAACTCAGGTCCTTGCCCTTGTGAAGTAGGCAGCAGAACCACAGAGCTAAATCCCCAGCCTCCCTCCTCTCTGTTCTGTTTTATTTTTTCATTTTAGTCTGATAACATAGCCTTCTCCTGTTTGTTTTTCTAATGTAAGCAGAACTCCGTGTGTGTGTGTGTGTGTGTGTGTGTGTGTACTTGGACCAAATCCATTCCTTCCTTTCCCTATAAAAGTTAGAAGACTTGATTTGTTTTCATTTGACAATATATCTAGAAGATCCCTCCATTGTATTATTTATAAATAATGCTCATTCTTTTTTACAACTGCAAAATATTTTCTTATGTGTGTTACACAGTTTATTTAGTCTCCTTTTGACTGACACTGGGTTATTCTCAGTCTCTTCTGTTTCAATGAGTAGTCTCAAGCATACAACTATATTTGACGTTGCATCAGTTCAATAGATTCCTAAATATAACATTGTTAGGTCAAAGAGTGATTGTGTAATTTTGTTCAGTCATTTTGTACAGGGCTGTGGAATTCTGTATGGCTGTCAACAGTACATCAGTATGCTTGTTTTCCCACAGTCTTATTAACATACCATGTCATCAGACTTCCACAGTTTGATCAATCTGATAGGCAAAAAGCTGGTGTTTTATTAATCTTTTTCATTTTATTTCCCTTATTCTGAGTAATGTTGATTATCTTTCATCTGTTTAAGAATGATTTACTTTTCTTTTTCCATGAGGTCTATGTTTATCTTCTAGAGAGTTATTCGCTTTTTAATTTTTATCAGTTCCACATATTAAGGATATTTTAGTTTGTGATATAGGATGTATATATTTTCTTAATTATTTTCTAATTTTGTTGATAAATATTTTGTCATATGAAAGTTTTCTTGAGTTTTATAGAATTAGAATTATTTATCTTTCATTTATAGATTCTGTACTTCTGTTATAGTTAGCACAGATTTTTCCATTCCAAATTAAAGATAAATTCATCTATACTTGCTTTAAATAATTATGAGTTTTTATTTTTGTGTGCTAAGATTGTTTTTTTGTTGTTGTTGTTTTTGGTACCAAGGATTGAACTCAGGACCTTGCAGTGGGAGGCAGGCAGTGCCATCACTGAGCTAAATCCCCAGCCCCCTTTTTTGTATGCTTAAGTATCTATTATACCTGGAATTTATTCTTGTTTTACCATGTACAGAAAGGATCAAATTGTATTACTTTTCATGTAGTTGTACAGTTATTTAAAGAAAATATTTTTAAAATCTAGCTTTTCCCTTTTGGGATACTTTCTTTATTTGTTCAGTCATGTAATTTTTTTGCCCCGTTAAATTTATTGGTACATTCAAAGTAAACAATACAGTTACATTTATCACTGGGATCTTGTACCTTTACATGATATGTCTTGGTTCTTACTTTTCCCCCATATCCCTGCCCTCCCTTCACCCCCTTCTCTCATCCCTATTTACAAAGACTGTTTCCATATTTTCCTTTTTTCACTTTTCTTCTTTTCCCTTATTTCCTTTCCCCTCCCCTTACCACTACCCCTATAGCCATTTTCTTCCTATTTCACACTATCAATTATATCATCTGAACCTTATTTACACTTTTAGCTGTTTTGCACCAGAGAAACTATTCGGTATTTACTCATGTGTCCTATTTATTTTACTTAAGAGTATAGCCTCAATGTGCATCCATTCAGACATGAGGATCAATGGAATAGATCAGTCATGTAATTTAAAAATATATAGGAGTTAGTTAACATTATTTACTATTTGATTCACAAGAAAATGCAGGTCTAGTGCCTTACCTGAAGTGACATTGCTAGTCAGAAGAAAGGTGGGAGTTAAACTAGATCTTGCCAATCCTAGGTCAGGTCTTTTCATCACCACAGTATGTTTCCCACTTACAACAGCTATCACCATCTTCATATTTCACATAAGTTAGCAGAGGATCGAAGAAGCCTTTTACTTTCTCAAGAAATCTATATTCTCAGTAAAATGATGAGAATCCACGTCAAACTTCCCAAGAATGCAACAGAGATAGGATCATTGTGGATGGGAATGTGAGACATTGAAGAAGATGAGAAAGGACAAATAAAGGCACAGGATGGCAGGAGTGCTTAGAGGCTGGCTGACGCTCATTTTTTTACAAGCCCTGGAAAAGTACAACTTATATATCATGCTGGTGCAGATAGTGCTAACTGCTACAGCATATAAATACTAAAATTTTATAACATAACAGATTATGTGGGTATACTTCTGACTCTAACTCCAATCAGCATTGGGTAGTTAGAGGATACTTCTCTGTCATTGAGCAACTCATGCTTATGGAGGCTCTGCAATTTATCTAACAGTCTTACTGAAATGTAGATCATATACTATACAATTGAACTGTTTAAATTATTTGCATATTGTATTATTAGTTTTTAATTCTGATAAAATACATAAGAAAAACTGCTATTTAATCATTTGAACTGCATGACATGTTGGCATTAGTCACATGCAGTATTGTGCAAGCACCACCATTTTCTATTTCCGAGACTTTTTTCATCTCCCCAAAGAGAAAATCTGTCCACACTAAGTAACAAAAGAACTATGACTGGTATCAGGCCTTGTTCCTATCAAGCTTAGGCTATCAGAGCTGGAAGAATCTTTATGAACCATTTATTAAAACCTCCACAGGTGTTGGGACCCCTAATGCCCTGAAAGCCTGTGTAGATGAAGGGTACTGGTCAGAGTGACACTGAGTTGATACCAGAATTGAAACAAGAGCAAGCTAGATCATTTATCTCTCATCTATATCATTGTCATTCAATCCTTTTTTTAAAAAAATGTAAAAGACAATTTTTAATCACAAGCTGACACCGACTTAGCTATATTTTATCTGTAAAAAATGTTATATAACTGAAGTGAATAGTAATTATTGTAATTTGTCAGATATGGACAGCCCTCCACCTCCTGGTACACTGTAAAATTACATTTTTTATACTCTTTGTAGTTAAAAATGATCATTGTATCCTAGGACACGCGAGGAAAATGAAATAAGTCATTTGCGTGGTGAGGATTTTAAGAGCCAGTTCACAATGCTCTTTTTTTCCCTGTTGCTCCTATCATGGCAGTAAAAAGATGAAACCTCTGTATTCTCATTATCTAATAAAGATAGAGTAGAGCTTGGAAAATCCCTGGTGGGCACATTATGTGAAAAAAAAATGTTCTTTTAAGACCCTGAGGTTTGTGGTTTGCTTTTTCCCACAATATAGCCTAGCCTATAGTGACTAATATAAATACTTAAGTTTACTTATTGTTATACAGTGTAATATTTGTTATCATTATTTTATTTTGTTCCATTTCAATTCTGGCTGCAACCTAGTGAATTGATTTCATGACCTAATAATACGGCTACCACTTGCAGTTTGAAAAATACTACTCTATATTGTCCCATAGCTGATCCTTTCTGTAAGCTTCTGTACAGCAATGTTAATGGCTCCCATCTTTCTGTAGGATTGTGGTTATGGAGAGGGTGGAGATGCATATTGCACAGTCTGCCCTCCCCGGAGGTACAAAAACAGCTGGGGCTACCACAGATGTCAGGCTTGCATCACATGTACTGTCATCAATCGTGTCCAGAAGGCCAACTGCACAGCTACCTCTAATGCTATCTGTGGGGACTGTCTGCCCAGGTGAGTCCACTGTATTGAGCCCAACATTTTGACATCATTTCATTTTACCTTGGTGATACCTCTGTAATCGTTACATCTCATAACCTAGTCAAACTGTTTTAACTATCCGTATCATATTCCTGCTTAGGGAAGAAATAGTTTATTCCTAAGATACCTCTTTAAAGTGCCCAGGCCATTGTCAGCCACAGATGAATACTTAATAATGTTTTTATCATGCTGGCATTCAGAGCTCAAGTCCAAATTTTAAGAAATTATGAAGCATTTGACATCAAAGCACTGTTCCCATGTGTAGAATTAGCTACCTTTTGCTTATAATGTGTGGTGAATGTGGAAAAAGATAAAACATCTGAACTTTTGAGTTAGAATCAATCATGGGGTAGAGAACTTGTCAGGAGAAGTAGGCTCAGGCTTCTATGAATGGAAATTCTTAAAAGCTACTTGTGGTCTCAGGAAGGATTGATCAAAGTGCATTGCTTGTTTCAACACTCTACCATTCCTTATTGCTCTAACCACAGGTTCTACCGAAAGACACGTATTGGAGGCCTGCAAGACCAGGAGTGTATACCATGCACGAAACAGACCCCCACCTCTGAGGTTCAGTGTGTGTATCTATTTCTCTTCTCTCCCTTCTTCCCCAACCCTTTGTGTGACAGCAAAGCAGGATAATAAAGTCTACATATAGTGGAGATGGGTACCTTATCAAGCTTCATTATGTGGAGTGTTACGGCAAGGCAATCAGTTAAGGTTAAATTCTGGTTTTACAACATAATCTGTAAACAACCCTGTACAGAGCTGGAGATTTACCTCAGTGGTTCCGACTCCTGCCTCACAAGCACAAGATCCCAAGTTCGATCCCAGGTACCAATAAATAAATATATAACCCTCTACAGATTTTTTAAGCACACTGAACTTCATTTTCCTTATGTGAAAATATGTGACTTATGATAAATCATTTTCCTTCATACATTATGGGTGGTTGCCTAGATCTAATGAAATAATGAATATTAAAAACAATAAATTATAATAATTACACACTTATGAATGAATTATTGTTATTACTGTTTTGTTGTACAAAGTGTATAGGAATTCCTAGGTCTTAAGAGTCACCAAAAGCTGAACAAAGGTGTATACTGCATTGGCGTTAATCACACACACAGTATTTTGCAAGCATCGCCATTTTCTATTTCCGAGACTTTTTCATTTCAAAGAGGATCTGTCCCCACTAAGCAACAAAAGAGCTACGACTGGTATCAGGCCTTGTTCCTATGAAGCTTAGGCTATCAGAACTGGAAAAATCTTTATGAACCATTTATTAAAACCTCCACAGGTGTTGGGACCTCTAATGCCCTGAAAGCCTTTATGGATGAAGTGTACCAGTCAGAGTGACACTGAGTTGATACCAGAATTGAAACAAGAGCAATCTAGATCATTTATCTCTCATCTATATCATTGTCATTCAATCCTTTTTAAAAAAACATGTAAAAGACAATTTTTAATCACAAGCTGACACCTACTTAGCTATATTTTATCTGTAATAAAAGTTATATAACCAAAGTGAATGATAATTATAGTAATTTGTCAGTTATGTGCAGCTCCCCATCTTCTGGTACACTGTAAAATTACACGATGACCAGCTGAGTCCACTATATTGATCCAAATTTTTCTGTGCTGTTTATTGGAGCTCTTTGGTGCCTCTTATCATCCTTCCCTTTCGTAACCTTGTCAAACTCTTCTGACTATATCATATTCTGTTGAGATTCTCAGAGGGGGGAAATAATGTATTCCCAGGATCCCTTTATGAAGTGCTCCGGACATTGTCAGCCACAAATGAATATTTAACAGCTTTTCATCATGTTAACACTCAGAGCACAGGCAGGTGTATGCCTACATCACTGTCCTTTTATCTGTCATTTTTTTCTACCATTTATTTTCTCTTATTCTTTATAAATTGTTGATGTATGTCTTAAAGTCATGAAATATTTAAAACATGTAAATATTTTTAAATACAAAGAAACTTAAAAGTTAAAATGCTCAATTACCTAAGATAGAGAGATAATAAATCTTAGCATTTTGCATATTTGTTACATATTTTTTGAAGAACAAAGATTCCACAAGTACGATAGCATTTTCTTTAAGAATCTCTCTGAGTCTCATTCTCCCTACCTCCACACCCAAAACATTTATCCTGAAGTTGTATGCAGCTTGTTTTGTTTTGTTTTGTTTTACCGGGGATTGAACTCAGGTCCCTGCGCTTGCAAGGCAGGTGGGGGAACCACTGATTTAAATCCCTGGCCTGTATGCATCTTGTTGATAGGCCATGCTACAATAACCAAACCTCAAATCTCAGTGAGTCAGTACAATAAAAGTGTACTTTTCACTATTCAAAGGTCTTCTTCATTGTGCAACTATACCTTCTAGACCAAGTAGACTGTAGACCAATTGTACAAGGAAAGAGATGGAAAAGACATACTGGCTTTTAATTGCCTCAGTCTGGAAATGGCATACATTATTAATATGTGCATTCCATTGGCCAGAAGTACTTTATGAAAACATGTAAGGGGAATACAGGGACACAAGTGGATAATTGGTGAAGAGTCTCTGCCACACTCTCCCTTAATATTTTAATACTTCTATTATTTTCATATATATATATGCATATTCCTGAACAATATGCTATTATTTTGTATATTATAATGTTTACATAAATTATATTATGTTATATAGTCTTATTTTCAGCTTCAAAGATTGATTCAATTTTTATTTTTTATTAGTGCATATTTGCAGTACATAATTGCATTGCTTGTGAGGAGTTCGTATATTTGTATAAAACATCTTAAGTTTTTTTACCCCTTCCCTTCCTCTCTCTACATTCTTCATCTGTTGGTTGCCTTCCCTTTTGCAAAAGACCTATCACCTTATTTCCTATTGTGTTTCTTTTATTTTGTTGTTTATTGATATTCTGGGTTTCTCATAAGAGAAGCCAAGCTATATTTAAGCTTGTGCACCTAATTTATTTTGTTCAAAAGTATAGTCTCAAGGGAGGGTAGGGACAAGGGGAAAAAATGAGAACCAAGACCTGTCATGTAGAGGTACAAGATCTCAATAATGAATGTAACTGTACTGTATACCTAAAATGTACCAATAAACTCAATGAGGGGGGAAAAAAGTATGGTCTCAAAGTGCATCAATTTTCCTAAAAATTACTCACATTTATGCTTCTTTATGGCAAAATAATACTCCATCATGTATAAATACCACACTTTCTTTATCTGTTCATCAGTTGATGGACCACTGTTCATCTGCTGTTGGTATAGGCTACTTCCAGGATTTAGCTATTATGAATTGTGCTGTTATAAACTCATGTATACATTTTTCCCCCTCTGGATTTTTCATATTAATGATACAATGTTTACTTTAAGTGGTATAGAGTATATACCTCAGAGTTATATTAGAATTCATTTATCCTGTGAATTTACTGAAGACATTTTTAATTTTTATTATATCACTAGATGTGGCATGACCATAGGATACATGAATCTTTAATTATTACTAATTTACAGCACAACTGCAGTATGTGTGAATTTTTCTACTTTCTTATTATTTAACTTACTCTACAAAGAAGAAAAACCAGCATGATAGCCCTAATTAGGGAAGGCCAGAAGGAAAGGATGATAGCCTAAGAAAGTCCAGGTCCAGTATCAGTGTAACTGTTGACTACTGACACTATCTGACCTCTCCCCCTTTTTTGTCCCACAGGTGCCTTTCAGTTGAGCTTAGTGAAAGCAGATAAAGCAGATGGACCCAGATTGCTCCCGCAGGAGGCCACACTTGTTGCATTGGTGAGCAGTCTACTGGTGGTGCTTACCCTGACCTTCCTAGTTCTCTTCTTCCTCTACTGCAAGCAGTTCTTCAGCAGACATTGCCAGCATGGTAAGAGTGGCTGCTTCACAATTTACATGAATCAGAAGTAAGGCTCTTATTGGCAGAGTAGTGGAACTTTCAGGGGCAGAGAATTAATGGGCCTTACTTAACCATACTGGAGAAACCCAGGGGTGATCTTCTGCAGGGTTGGCCTGTGGCTTTATCTGAGATAGCAATGGAAAGCATGGGACTTCATAGATGATGAGGCTAACATTGAGAGTTTGGGGGACATGGTTCTTTGGCTTCCAGGAAGTCAAATAGGAACATGATGGGAAACTCCATGTGAAAATTTGGGCACCTAGGTTCCAAATCACTCTCTAACTGGTAATGTAGCTTTGGAAAAATTACCTAGCTTTTGTGAGCTTCTTTTTCCCTAATCTTTAAAATTAGAGGTAGGTTGGATTAGTTGGGGTGTCATGTTTTCCAATTCTGCATATCTATATTAGTGAATATAAATTCTGGAGCATGTCAGAAGGGTGGTACATTTGGCTATATATGAGATATTATTTTAATAAAAGTGGGTGAGATCTAGAGAAACTGCTATTAGTATAGTCATTTTCCAAAGTGGAGTAACTGAAAGCCCAGTGTCTAGTTGATAAACTTTGACTTTTTTCCCCAAATCGATATTAAAGCCCAATGATGTCTGGCCCAGCTCATGGGAGATGATCATGTAAAATTCCAGACAGAAATCATTGTCATAGGTTTTCAGCACAACTTCATTCATTAGCCAAGCAGTTCATGAAAGAAAATGGAGATGAAATGGTGGCTGGTCAGGACCAAACAAGATGTTACATCTCCAGCCACAAGTAGGTTCAGTGCAACTTCAGCGCCGTTAAGGGAAATGAGAGCTATACAGGGACACTCAAACTCAGACTAGTACAGAGTTGAGTTAGTAAGACAGAGCATAAAGTTTACTAAATGCCATGAAACTGAGCACTCTTCTTTAGCCTACTACTTCCTGGACCCAAAGAAACTACTGTTTGTTTGTTTTCTTTTGGTACTGGGGATCAAATACAGGACCTGGTACTTGCGAGGTAGGTGGCGGAACAACTGAGCTAAATTGCAGCCCAAAACTACTTTTTAAAAAAAGACAAATTCTATCTGTATGGTAATTCCTCTCTTGAATGGAACTACTTGGTCACTTTGGCTCTGGGTCCTGTCAGTTTATCATGAAAAAATCTAGTAAGTATATTTGGTTGTGCTTTTTTGCTTAAATAGAGATAAATCTAGCATTTCATGGGCTGTAGTATTTCCCTTTGTCTCTATGATGCTTCTCAAACCTACTTCAATCCCTTCTATTTTTTGGTAGCTCCTGGGACACTGTGTCTCCTGTTGGACTATCCATTTCTCTGACTTCATAAGCCCATATCTCAAATAAGAGCTGCTTTCCAATCCCTCAGCATGGGTATGAAACATGCAGTGAAGCACTTGGGCCCCAGGGTTCAGCAAGATGAATATGAGGAATGATCTGAGAACTGGCTGCCTCCCTTTTCTTCCCTAGGAGAGAAGAGATGAGTAGCACTCTTCTTGTCCCCTTCCGTCTTCAAGATAATAATGTAGTACCCCCTGGGAATATGAAAGAAGGCAGCTTCCTCACAGTCTCCATAAAGAAGAAGAGTGCTAGATTTTTTTTTAACTTGGGGAAGATCTTTTTCAACAGTGACTGACACACATACTTAGGGCTGTGTAAATTAGGATGCTGTGTGGATTAGATCTACTATAAGGTGTAAGAGAAAGCCATAGGAACTGGCAAACCAGAGTGCATCCCCTGTTGAAAAGGGAATCTACTCAGTTCTCGCTCTTTGTCACTCTTTGGAAATATCCAAAATTGCAAAACTTTCCAGATTTTCAAAAGAGCCCAGAAATCTGGATTTTTTTGTAAGAGGTCATGTTAAATATTAGCAAAGAATTTTAATAAAGAGCAAAGCTACAACTACAGTGGATAAGTGAAACAAATATACATTCAATATATTCTTAGTTTGTAACCTGATTTTGAAAAAGTCTCATGCATGAAGGATATATTATTTTTTATCATTGCCATAAGAAATTACCAAACATCTAATAGCTTATTATTTCACAGTTTCCATAGCTCAAAAGTTCAGCAGGCTTGGCTGGATCTCACAAGGCTGAGATATTGGCAATGCTGTGTTTCCTTATAGGGGCTCTAAATGAGAGTCTGTTTCCTTGTTCATGCAAGCAGAAGGCTGAATTCATTTCCATGCAGTTATAGGACTGAGGTCCCATTTTCTTGCTAGCTCTGAGCTGAGGGCCATTCTCAACTTCTAGAGGCCACTCATTCTTTTCTTAATGTCCTTCTTCTAGTTTTTTTTTTTTTTTTTTTT